CATTAGCATCAAAAAGAAGTGATTCAGAAAGACTGTAAAGTTTGGTTACATTCTGGACACGTCAGCTAAACAAACTCCAGCTGCAACAACGAGGACAACGAAGGTTAGAAATCTAAATATTAACGACAATAATAGGTTGCCAGATCTGTTAAATAAGATAAAAATCAGTGTTCATTAATCCTTAAGTGGGTAAACGTGCTGTCCAGTAAAGGGGATAATCCAAAAATATAGGAACTTGAGTAGAAAAATAAAAGTAAACAAGAAATACACATAAGTACTGGTGATATTGTACAGATTCTTCCATGTGTAGAAATTTAGATATTGCCAAGATTCCTCTGGATCTGTAATGTACACATAGATCTGAATGTGCCCCTGGAAACCCATCACACCTTCAGACGCTCTACGTCCACGTTATCTGGAGTCTGCAGCTAGAAATTCTGTGATTCTCTCCAAAAGCTGCAACATCAGTTCCTGTCTACACACTTGAAGATAACTGGTTATTCAGTCTATAATCATCTGGAGCCTTCTGCTCGATCGTCTCCGATTTGCTTGAAACACTTTTATCATAAACTATAAATATTTAAAATGGTGTCTGTGAAATTTCAGATGGATATATCGAGGACTTTCTAAAGCCAGAAATGTTCACTGTTGTTTCTCATCATGCCAGTGAATCAGAATCTGCACTCATGGACACGTACATCAAATTATCTCTGATTATGAGCTAATTTTTTTATTATTTACATTGAAGCTGTCATAAAAAGTCCCATCTTTGAGCACACATAGACAGAAAAATTAAGTTATTTAGACCATCAGCTAGGGATGCATGATACATCGGTGACCACATCGGTATCGGCCGATATTAGTGTGTTATCCCATGTACCGGTATCGGTCCGATGAACAAATTTAGCCGATGATTGTCTAACATCAGCGCCTTCGTCTCAACATTTGATATTGCTGCTATTTCACAAATGTTTTTACTTGAATAGTCCTGGACTTGAACATTAAATATGTTTTACTTTTGTTATGTACTAAAGACAAGCTAAAGACTATGTGGTCTAATTTGGGCTTCTTTTGAATAGTTTTCCTATTTTCACAGCACTTCCTTATACTCATTTTTCAGTGTGAACAAAAATTGAACATAGACATCAGTAATATCGGTTATCGGCGATATCAGAAATCTTGATATCGGTATCGGCCAGAAATTTTAATATCGTGCATCTCTACTATCAACAAATACTTTTATTTTTGCGGTACAATACTTACCTGCTCAATCAGTGATAACTGTTCAAACATTTTATTTTTGTATATTTTACAATAAAAAGTATTCTATATGTTTTGTTTAGTATTACTGTGACATGCAGCTGCGTACAATTCAGAAAGTATCACTAGCTGACTTGTGCATTGTCAGTATTTATGTTAATGTGCTCATCTTTTTTATACCTCAACTCACTAATAATCAGAGATTACAAAATCTACTTGTCCGATATTACAGATTCTGAATCAATGCCAGAAATAAAAGTGAAGATTTCAGGCTTTTATCTTTAATAGTTCCTGAGATATTGTCAAACAGACTCGAACTTAAAAGCCCAAGAAAATGTGCTGAAAGTGGGTGGACGGGCAATTTAAAAAAAAAAGATTCTCTAAAAGTATTTAATGTATGAAGTTAAAATTTTACGACTATCTTTAGAAATCTTCCTATTTTACATTTTCAAAATTTCAAGCAAACCACAGACGGTCGAGCAGAAACTGTTATAAATATTTGATGATAGAAAATCGACTAACTTCTAAAACTAGAGTTTCCCCAGTAGAGCTTCGGTGTTAAATACCAGCACAATACGCTCAGCGACTGAGATGGTGAAGCCTGTTTTTCCACTTGAACATGCATAAATATGCACAGAGAGCAGACGGACCAAACACGCCACGTGACACAACTCGACCAATGCACACAGACCAGAGCGGTGAGGTGACGATGGAGCTTCCATTCAGCTTCCATTCACACAAACACGGGAGGCCTCGGCACAAAAGACCAGCAGCGGCGGCGGCGGCAGGGTGGCGGGCTGCGAGGGATCATGGGTAAATGAGGATGTGAGGCCCTGTTGCCATGCAGCAGCGAGGCCATTCGCAGCCACGGTTACCACGGTTACCACGTTTCAATCATCATAACATTAACCACTGTACCGAGGTCAGAGAAACATGCAGCACCTTTTTGGGTTTCACTCCTCGCTGCGTGATCGGAGAGAAGGAGGGAAGGAAGGAAGGGAGGGTGAAGGTTAAAGAGATTTGGCATGCTGGAGGTGTTGGGGGGGTTTGGTGCTCTGAAAGGTGGAGCCAATATGTTCACTTTCACACACTCATGTCTTCGTTTGGTTGTGTTTCTAACAACCCGCACATATTTTTTTTTTAAAAAACAAAAACCTCTGAAAATGTGTGAATTCTGTGTGAATAAAACAAGTTCTTGTTATCGTTGTCTTTATATTAATAAAACACACATTCGAAATCATTACAATTTTCAAATAACGTCTAAAAAAATTCAGTAAAATGACAATTTGTTCTTTGTTTTTTTGTACAAAACTAAAACATTAACTATGATCACCTCTGCTCAGTGACTAGTTCTGTCACAAAGCAAGCTACCTGCACTCTTCTTATGCTTTTAATAGTGTTTTACGACTGCAAGTGATCACGTCATTACTTTTGAGAATTAAAGCCTGTCTTTTAATAGTATTATCTTTACATAAATATAACACATTCTGATTCAGTCATTTTTCCAGATATTGCTCAGTGAAAAGTATTTTTTCCACATTTTTACTGTAAATATTTATCTTGTTTTTTCACAGATTAAGCAACAACAAAAACATCAACTCTGATATTTAATAAAAGTGAAGCACTGTATACTTTAAAAAAAAAAAAAAAAACTTTGTATATTGTTTTATAACTGCAAGTGATCTGGTCGAATTCCTTCTAAATGCAGACTAATTTGGCAGTAAATTCTAATTAATTTGGCTCTTTAGCTTTTCTTTTCAGCAGCAGCACATTAAAAAGAAGTCCAGATAAGCTAAGCGAGCTCCTAAATGTAAAGAAATCTCTCAGTTTTACATTCACAGAAGCAGTCTGTAGGTTTAAATTTGGTTTTATGAGGGGTGATCAAAAAGTTCTGGGACTGTTCCTGGTGCACAGAGCGCATCATGGCCATGTATGTGCAACATATCTGAGAAAGTCAGCAGCTGGATGATCCAACGTTCATGTGGAGGATCATAACTGTTACCAGCTACCATCAAGAGAAGGAACAAGTTTTTACAGTGAAAGAGTTTCCAAAACCAGACAAGGTGGATCATTTCAGGAGCACCAACAGCATGCTCATCCTTCTCTTGAGGTTGAGGAGCCTGGACTTAATCCCTCAGAGTTGTATTGTAACATACTGAGGCGTCTGAATGAGAACATTCAGAACAAAACACCTGAGCGGTGGCGTGACGCCATGTGGGAGCTGCCATACGCTGTGCAGCCAGTCACAGTGTGGTGGTTATGAAAGGGCTTTTTGGCAGCAACAACACAATCGTCTCTTTCTTTACCGGCCACATTTGGCTCGCTGCCACTTCTTCCTCTTCCCCAAGCTAAAACTCAACTTGAAGGGTCACAGTTGAGGTGATTCAGCGCACATCGCAGATGGCGCTTAATGTGTTTACACAACAAGGACTTCCAGGGAGCGTTAGAAGTGCTGCAGGAGCTCTGGGAGCAGAGCATCGCTGCACAAGGAGCTACTTCAACATGGATGGATGCCAAATTTTAAATCTGGTACATTTTTTATTTTATTTTTTTTACAGGCACAGTCTAGGAGCCTTTTGATCACACCATCAAAAAGGAGCTATTATACTGGATAACCAGGATGTTTATCTGCCCCTTGAAGAAGAGACGCATCATTAATTCTTGCTGTGAGTTTGTCTTTTAAAGATGACATTAATCTCAAGGAAAATGACCACAGCTGTGATAATTCCTATGAAACATTACTTTAGTGGACACGAGCATCAATTCCAGTTAAAAATACGTCTAAAACATAATCACTTGCAAAGTTCTTCTCAATATTTTGGAGCACTGTTGCAGCTATTTTCAGGACATTATGGCCTTTTTACTCCTGTGGAGCTGGTATGAAATATGAAGTATAAATTAAAGCTTTTTCTGTTCATATCATCTCCTGAATTGTGTGCACTTTTAATTTAATATCAGATCAAATATACTATACTGGTCCTCCATACGTGGGTGTAATTGTAGGTAAACAGCTCCCTCTGCTGGTCGTATAAGAAAACTCCTGATTTTAAAAGCTCTAATGTGGACTTTTAGTAAATTTAGAATTATTTAATCGTGTTTAAAATGGGAAATATTTAGCTCAATACAATGAAAACATTCACAAATGCAAAGCAGCATTTGAGCATTTTATAGTCAGTACTTTTTAAATATTTCAGGAGATGAAAGGAAGACATGATCAAGAAAGCATTTACACTAATCCCTAATCCTTTTTCTATGTCTATTTGCACATCCGTATAAAAAGAAGAGCTTTTTGAATAGTTTCTATATTATCTTAAATTATTTAGACGTATTTATATTACATTTGTGTAGTACTTTTTTTAAAGTTTTCACTTCACTAACAAAAATAAATCTTACAACAGATGTGTTTAGTCGTCTAAATGCGATTGAGAAATGTATCTGTCAGTCTATCAATTGCAGTCACTTTACCTCACACACCTGCTACTAACAAAAGCTGTGAAAGCAGCACTTTTTTGTCAGAAATAAATAAAATACTAAGTGTTGAGTCACAGTAAAACAGCAGAGAGTAGCTCATTTTGTTCCTCCAGAAGCCAACGGGACAGAAAAACACAGCATTTAGTTCAGAGTGGGTGTCTGTGCAGGTGTGCATGCATACAGGTGTGAGTGCAGGTGTGTGCTTCCATATCTGCTCCCGGTTTCCTGCAGAGGAACGTTGGGTCACAGAGCAGCTTGATCTGACTCACCAGTTTGGTGGACTTGGGCGTCTCCAGGATCTCTGAGGAAATAAAAAAGAAAAACAAAGGAGGTCAGAGATAAGTTCTCACATCATAATCAGCGTTTAATCCTCTGCAAGGTATAAAGTCCTGCAACACATCCTGGAGCAAACAGGATAAAGTCAACATGATTTATTATCTGTTAAACAAACGGTCAACACTAATACGCCAGCTGTGGGAAACTGCATGAACGAAAACACAAGCAGCTTTTTCAGTTTATTTTATCCATGTATCCATTTTGTCTGTTCAGATGAGGAAAGAGTTGCTTCTATGCTGGTGATTTCAGTCTTTAAAGGCCCCTTTTGCATTCATCTGATGACAAATTAACGTCTAAATAAGCAGCTCGGTCACGTTTACATAAAAGTCTCAACAGCAGTCTGACACTGTAACATCCACGTATCACTAATGCAGCAGCATCAGGGGAAACATGCAGAAATCTCAGAAACAAATGCATCTAAATTTTTATCTCTGGTGCACAAAGAAAACAAAATGTGGAATTAATTACTCAGGATGTGACAAAAGCAGAAGAAGTTGTCTGAAAAATCTTCTTACAAGCAGAGTAACAATCAGACCAGCACTCCATCCTTTTTCATTAAAAAAAATAAATTGCATTCAAAGAAATGAATATCCACCAAATTATTAGAAATACAGCTTGTGACCTCATTAAATTAGAGTTGTATCCCGCTATTTAGTGTTTGTTCCTGTCACGGTTTACATAAGCAGGCAGCAGATTTGCTCTTCCGTATAACAGATGATGAAGTTGATGCAAGAATATATCACTCATGGTCATAATGGTCACAAACAGAGGACGAAAAACTACTCAAACATAAACCAACAAGTAAATAAAGGCAGAAATGTGTAATTAAATGCAAAAATAAAAAACACTTGTTCTTGGTCTCTATATTTCCTTACATTAGTTTTTCTTACTTGTGTCTACATTTTAATATTTTTTCATGCATGTATTTATTTATTTATCCCTTTCTTTAGTTGATTATTTATGTATTTTTGTTTCTGTATGTTAATAAAGGTTTGAGATTTTAATCAGTAGTTAATAGAAGGTAGCTTTTGTCAAGTAGATTTGATCGGATTCGCTTCTTTCTGTCTGGTTCACCAGATTTGATAAAGCACATGCAAGAGTCGATGCAGCAAAATGTCCTCCAGTAAAAATATTATCATTACATATGATAATAAAAGTTATCTGAAATAAGTCAATATTGGGGTCAAGATCCTGTAGTGTCATTTATGGTGTGATTTAACCCAAATCATTAAAACATTAAGGATCAAAGCCCACAAAAGTGACATGAAAATACTACCTTTAATGACTATAATAACTGATTATAATTGGAGAATAACTAAGAGAATAATAAAACCACGACTCTATAGTATTAGATTTATGAGGTCTTTGAGCCTTAGAGGTTCTTTGGACGTAAATCATAACTTCCACTACCGTCCTTCGTTTTCCTTATTATTATTTAAATGCCTGGAAATACTACAAAATGTCAATTTCTGCTTTAACGTAATATTCAAGGCCCCAGCGAGCGGTTTGGAATTAACTGCTCAGTAACCTTGTAGTTATGACAGGATGAAAAACGTGGGACATGTTTGGCTTCTGGCATCGATGCGAAGGAAACTTTAAATCACATCAGGTTGATCCTGGAACAAGACGTGCTGTCATTTAGTTGAATTAATGCGCCGTCATTTGCCAAGTTCTTCCCACTTCTTTTTTAAAAATTTCATCAAGCGAGGCGTCCGTGAGATGGCAGGTGAAATTAATTTTACTACCAACGGCTGGGTTCACCAACATTTTGGTACTTACAAGCCCCTCGAAACAAAAATCATGAAATTTCCCTCGAAACACATACAAGAACACAGAAAGTAAAGCGATTTCAGTGCTTTACTGAGGGTTGCTGTTGAGTAAAGGAGCCTCTACACTGTATATTAGAGATAAGTGGGAGACTGAACTAAAAATACGAATATCTAAAAATGGTTGCTGCTATATAAGCGAGATACAATGAAAATTCAGCAGCTTCTGGCGGTGGAAGGAAAATGTTGTCCGATTTTTCTGACTAAATTTAGAAATTAATCTGGTAAAACGCAGATCACGCTCATGGCTTCTGTGCATATGCTTGAAAATAAGATAATATTGCAATGATATATGTGCAGAGGGAACAGTAAATGGGTGCTAAATTTAGGTGTGTTTGGTAATCTGATGAGAGGAAATGTGTAATTTAAGCACTCTGAGGTACTGGATGGACAAAGCTGAAGAGAAATCTGACCTGGAAAGACTTTTAAAGTGAAAATAAAGCGACTATAAAACCCAAAGAGCGCCAACACACGGGTAGAAGTTTAATTTAATGGCTGAGATATTTAAGTTGCATTAATCAAAGCTTCACACTAACTTTTTACATGCATTGGTACTCCTACAGCTTTTCACGGTAAATATTACATTTTAAGTGTTACCTTTAGATGGAATGATTGCAAACAGGCACAAATAAATGTTTTGCACATTCTGGTGCTTTTCTATTTTTATCTTGTTTATTCTGCTGCTTGTGTTTATTCACTCTGGTCCTGCTCTTAGTCTGGTTACTTTCTTTAAACTGAACTGACTGTGTTTCTATAGCTGCTGATTAGTCATTTTAAATACTAGAGATAAGCCAAACAGAGTTTTGTCGGATCTGTGTGCATATAATAACAACAAACTTCATTCTGGTACTTAAAGCTCTTCTTTAACTGTATTATAAGCAGCATTAAACTCTATTATCATTTCTACCCTCACTGTTATAAGTTTCCCGCTGTGCACAGAGAAGCTTCTAGTCTCCACTCACTACTGCAGCACTGCAACTCAGGCAGATACGTGACCAAAAATTTGATTGAAAAAAAAAAGAATAAAATAACATCAAATTTACCCAACATTAAGTTGTGCACATTAGTGACACATTTTTTTGTTGATGTAATAACAATAATATATAAAGCAAATAATTTAAACAAAAAAAAAAAAGGCTCCATCAAGTGTCAGCATCACCATAAATTGTGAAACTACACCAGAATACTGGAAACCAAAAGCTCACCACAATGGATTGGAGCTTTTTTTGTAAATGTTATCAATTATATCTGTCACTTGTCTGCTGTTAAAAAAGTGTAAACAGTTCTGCAGAAAAGCATTAATGGACTAAATATCTTGCTCGTCTTAATTCTAGTGCACAGCAGTGCTTCAAGGCCGTTTCCTCAGTGTTGTCGCCGCCGCTTTACTTTGAAAGAACATCTTGTTGCCAGGTAACAATCATTCAATCTCACTTTAGTTGCCTTCGAGAAACAATTGTCCAAGAAGATTACTTTAAAAAAAAACAACAACTGCTTAACGTGTCACCACTTAAACTCATTTTCTCTGAGCCAGAAAGTTGTTAAGCTGTTTGACGTAGCATCTGGGAGGCGTAACCATGGAAACAGAGTCCAAATCCAATCCCCAAAGGGGAGTTTTTCATTTTTGGACTCCACTTTGTAGGAATACACCTTGGTTTGAAGGAGACTTGTCAAGTAGTTTCATATAATTTCTTTGGGCATTATGGCTGCATTTGGCCAATAAAGAGACCAGTGTTTAATAAAAAGAAGATGTGCAACAGGTGGCTGGATAAAGTGCCGCTTATAGAGCATCAGCTGATTGATAGCTTTCTGGACCAGCAGTGCACACGGAGGGATTCAAACCCACAACCTTGACAGTTTCAGCTGACTAAAATGAAACCAGACGGCGTCCCTGTAATGAGATATGTCCCGAAGCACATTTATATTTCAGACCTTTAGCTGACACTCAAAACCACAGCGAGCAGGTCGGGTTTTTGCTGCCTTGCTGAAGGGCACGTTTACACCAAAACATGTAGGTCCCATCTCAAAAGAGGCTCCTCAGATGCCAAAAAGACAAAGGTTGTGTATTTTGGGAGACATGAACGGACTAGAAGGCAACAGGCAGTCGATGTTCGGCAAAAGCTCACCCACACATTTGATTTTATTTTCAAAAATAATAATTTAACTCCAAGAAGTTTCTGGACATTTTTTGCGCTTATTACACATTTTCCTCACTTCAAGCTCATTTTTCACTGTAATATAATAAAACTTTACTTCTATGGAAACAGCACAAACATAGCGTTTATGTTATGTTATGTTATGTTATGTTATGTTGTGTTATGTTGTGTTATGTTGTGTTGTGTTGTGTTGTGTTGTGTTGTGACAAAACCGTCGACATGCCAAGGGGCCCCGACTGCATCAGCTGAATCTGTTTTATTAAAATGAAAAACTCCCAAGGATGATTTTTATGCCGTCTGTGTCCTCACTTATGATTTTGTCCTTGGTTCAAACATTGCTGCGTGTTTAATCTTCTGATCACGCGTGTCTCCAAAGGCGCTGAAAGGTCAGGATCGACAAGATTTCACTGTGTTGTGGCTTTTTTCTTTACTGTTGCAGCTCCCGCGGCGCGCTGAAGACGACCTGTAAATGACAACCTTCTGATTGTGTGTGTTCGTACCTCGTTTGGGAACCTTGCCGGTGCCGGGCTCAGGTGTCTCCGGAGACGTCGTGTCGGCTCCATCATCAACCAGCTGGATCTGAAACAGACAACACAGACAGACAGTCGGTCACGGCTTCCAGGACACAACAGGCTTTACTGCCGGCCTGTTTGGTTCGGCAGCAGAAGAAGCAGCACACGTTAAAAAGGGGAGCCACAAAAACAAAATCGGGTTGTTTATTGATGTTCATTCAAACGTAGCACTGCGAAAAACAGTCGTAATTTTCCTCCATCTCCATAGCAACCTGCACCACAGGGACAGTCAGGGTCAGCCAGTGCTTTATCACAAGTGGGAGACATAATGAAGCAGATTAGTAATGCAACACCTAATCGATAGTGAAGCCGACGGCTGTGTGTGTGTGTGTGTGTGTGTGTGTGTGTGTGTGTGTGCACCTGTACAGACGGGTCAAAGCAGGTAACATCAATACAGTTTTGCTGCAGTAGCAGGACAGGACAGTGCAAGTATTCACCCTAAAATATGTTTAATTGTTTTCTGCAGCTGGTGTCACTGCATGGTTTGTATTTAAAGATATAAAACTTTACAACAACTGGCGCAGTCCTTTACAAAACCCTAAACAGAGACACTAGAGTAGTGCCAAAACAATAACTCAATTTATCAATAAGTCAACAACAGTAAAAGAACATAAAAAAAACGTATCAACAAAACCGAAAACTAATTTATTTGTGTTATTTTTAAAGACAAAAATAACACTTACAGGACTGACATTACAGGATTTGCTGCTTTTTTCTTTTTTACATATAAATGCAATTGAAATATTTTGGGGTTTTGCTAGTTGCAAAAGAAGTTAAAAAAACAACAACAACAAAATAGATTTTTTGGGGCACAGAGAAGCTGTAGGGGAAAATTTAACCTGAACAATTAATCACAAATTTGGGATCAATCGGTAATGATTTCTTTAAAGGTGGAGCCTACGCTACTGAGGAAAGATTGCAGATATTTATCTAGTTAGCATATTTAGCAAGTTAGCTTGTGCCACATTTGCAGTGCAGAGTCTCAGACCTGCTGGTATTATAATTTGCAAATCATTTCAAAATGCATTGTTTACCATTTACAGAGCCAAAGTAATAAGCAAACACTGGATTTTTTGTGCACACACTGAACACACAGCTAGCAGGCTGTGAGACATTAATCACAAACTTTTCTATATATAAATCTGAACTAGATTGTCCTACAGAGGCTAAAGATTTTCAGCTTCTGATTTGCAAAATACATATAAATTATTTGTAATAATACAAAAAAAATGAAGATTTTATTGCTTTTTTTTTTCTTTTTGCAGGCAGATAACATTGATCAAAAGCAGTATACATGAATTGGAAAAATCTGGACTAGATTATGCCAGAGAGGCCAAAGAATCTTTTCAACACAGTTTTTGGTTTACAAGTGATGCTACCCTGTCAGATGTTTAGAATCTCACCTCAGCAGCCACCTGCAACCTAAACTAAAGTGAATTGGCGAGCCTTGATGCAGATCACAATAAAGGTTCATTATGTTTAATTATTATCTGAGTTGATATCTGAAGCTAGAAGTGTTGTTCTTTTAAAAAAAATTGATAAATATGCCCCACTTCAAAACAAATCTATTCAGTCAAGTGTTCTTCTATGAGGCTCATCGTACTGACAGTATCTACCGTGTTTGTTCTGTGGGTGTGTGTTTACGGCTTTCATACCAATAAAACACACCAGTGTCAGAATATATTAGCAGCTTTGGGACAAAAGTGAGTGTAACAGTTCATCAAATGAGTCAATTATTTTACACTGTTTACATTTTTTGTTACATGCAGTGTATAGTCTAGTGTCTCCTCCAGGCGACTGGGATCAATCTCTGGTCAATAGGAGGCAGGGAGGACACGATTCAGTACATTTTCTGGCAGAGAGAAATTGAGCTGTTGTTGATAAAAACATAACAAAGCATCCTGAAGCAATAGAAAGTGTAGGCAAGCTGCAGACAACAGAGGAAAATATCAGCCCCCACACAAACACACTGCGTCAAATAAAAAGGAAAACTAAATCTCAAGCATCATAAAAAAATAACTCAATCGTAGGTGGAGGTGGAAGCAGTCCTGGATTAGATTCGTAACTCGTTACCTGTGACTGTCTGACAAAAATCCCGTGGCTCTCCTCGCAGGTGAAGTAGCGTTTCCCCTGCACCGTGCCGTCGTTCTTGCCTTTGGCCTCGTCCAGGATGACGCCGACCCATTTCCCGGAGGCGAAGAGCGTGGTGCCGATGTAGGCCACGGTGCCGCGCTGCCCCTTCCCGATCACCTCCACCAGGGAGCCCACCTTGACGGGACGCCCGCCCCCATCGGAGCTCATCCTGCTGCTGCCACTGCTGGTGGTCTGAGTGGGAGAAAGAAGAAGAAAAGACTCATTCCTGGTCCACTCAACACACTGACGGTGGTTTTAGCTGAACAGACAAGTTTATTTTAGGATGCAAATTTGAATCTGCTTTCCTAACCAATCACATTACAATACAGTTCCTATGCTGACAAAGACATTTTCTATCACAGAAATGCAGAATTAGATTGATGCAACTGTACTAGCTACTATACAAATGCTGTTCCAGTTCAGCTTGTTTTGCATGATGTGAATTCTGGCCATTAACTACCACAAAAGTCTTTGTCATGGTGGCCCGATGCTAAAGAAAAAAAGTCTTCTCTTTCACTGCTTTTCACTCTTAATCAAACCATTTCTGCATATAAACATCAAAGTTGTAATTTTGGTATCGTGACAACACTAATACGTACTGGTATTAGGGAGCCTATATTCAATTAATCAGTAACCTGAATGGCATATAATGGACATTTATTCATATGCTGACAAAGCCATTTCTTACCACAAAAAGAAAAAATTGCTTCAACATTGGCTCAGCTATATTAGCCATATATTAGCCTATATGAACGTTGTTCCAGTTTAGCTCGTTTTGAACATGTGAGTTCCGACCAGAAGCAATTAATCACCACAGAGATTTTTGTCATGGTGGCCCTTTGCTAAAGAAAGCTAATAAAGTCTTTGAAACAGGGTCACTGATCTGTGAAACCCATTTGTTCCTTGATCAAACCATTATGTCAAAGTCATAATTTTGGTACTGGCATGTACTGGTATTAGGGAGCCTACATTCGATTAATTGGTCCCATGAATGGCGTATAGTGGACATTTACTCATGCTGAAAGAGCCATATTTCTTTTTTACCACAGAAATGCTGTTAGCTCATTTTGAACACATGAGCTATTGATAGAGACCATTAACCACCACAGAAGTCTTTGTTATTGCTCTCATTGCTAGTTAAACTCCCACAATGCTCTCTGCTTGCCAACCAAGAAGTGAAAACACACAGCTACTATTCTGGATGATGCACTGCCAAAACTGGCAAAGGGTAAATCTGTAGGGAGAACTTTTATTACTATATCTTTTGTCCTTGTGGCTGCTACACACACTTGTAAAGCTCAAAACACAAAAATAAAATTAACTTAAAGTCAATTCTCAATTAGATGTTTTTAAGAAAAAATATTAACATATAACAATAATCGGTAAAACGGATAAATTGATGGAAAAAAATCATCTTAAGTGGCAGCCCTTTTTCTTTAATTTAACGCCACTTCCCTCCTATTTAAATCCATCTATCAGATGACCAGTGACGGTGCATCGAGTCACAGAGGTGTTAAGTTGACATTTGTAATAAAAGGTGCTTTTGTCAGTACACACTGTGCATCAAAACTACAGCAAGAAAAAAACTCTAAAATTAAGTTTCTCTTGGACCCACTGAGGTGTCTGGGACCACACTCAAAGTGAACCTGAGGCCCTGTCCTGATACTGCACTCTCTAAATGTCAACGCAAGCTTTAGCAGCTCTGCTTCTTCTTCTCTCCAGCTACGATGCTACATTTCTGTGATAATTCAATGACAACAACCGCCTGAGATTTCATATTTGTCGTGCGGGGAGGAAAACAGAGTAAACCGACGGCAAATTTAGTTGAGCTGCAATATTCTGTAATCAAAAAATCCCACGTAACCCAATTTGCAGCGTGATGTCCTAGAACTGATGGTGACTCAGCAGAACAGCACAGAGGAGCAGATATTATTACTCAGAGAGAGAGAACAAGCTCAGACTCTCCTTGAGTTTACTGTAAATATACACCGTCTATGAGCTGCTGTTTAACTTAAAGGTTGCACAACACGCAAACCTCCACAAAAAGTGAACCAAAACAGACACACAGCAGCAGCACAAAGCTCTCTAGCATGCACCTGTCAAATCCACTGCAGGCTTCTGTGCTAAAAGATTTTTCATTCCTCGAACTGCTTTCATGTCATGTCAGTGAAATAATATACACATCTGAGGCGCACGTTTGACAGGGAAAAAAAACATGGCAAGGATCTGCTAAATACCCAAACTGATTAATCAATGCAACAATCATAGACCAAATTCTTAAAAAAAAAATGAAAGAAAACATTCAATTAATAGTAAGTTTCTTGAGCTTTGTTGCATGTTTGATGCTCTAATTAATATTGATAGTTTTATTAATGTATAACATGTTTTTTTCTCTCACATAAACACCCAATAAAACCATTTGAACATTTTTCAGGTGAGAATTAAACATGTCAGTGCTCTCTGATGGACAAACTATGTTGTGGGATGCTATATATGACGTCAAACACAATCCTGCAGCAATTCCCTGCAACACACACACACACACACTGATATATCTCCAGCGACCAGTTCAGCAAATTTTTGAGTCTTGCTCCAATGATCATATCATCCCGACGAAACTCATCACACCTTTGTCCTCTTTGACCTGCACAGAGAAAGAAGAGGCCGACGCTTTTGTCTGCAGTGACGGCTGCTGCATTTATCGATTAGTTGTCAATTAATAAATTAACATTTAACTATTTTCATAATCTAATAATCAGTTTGAGGCAAAATTCCCTGATTTTAGCTTCTGAAATGTAACCGTTTTCTGAACATCTTTGTGGACGAAACAGGCTATTTATCATCTTGTGCTTAGAAAAACACTAATTCACATTTTTCAACATTTTATTGACCAAACAATTAATCGATTAATGGAGATCTTCTCCCTCCACTCCATCTGGAGTACCTGCTGTGTTACCATGTTTACAAGAAAACCCAGTCCTCTTAATTAGGCCAATTAACTCCATAATCAGCAAAGATGCTTTTACTCATATGTGTTTGTGCATGCTACATATCTGCTACCAGTTTGAATTTCTAGCTTTTCCCTCATTATTATGCAAACATATGTGGAAATGTTTCTAAAATCTACCGTACAGTGTTCATTAAAGCACATACCAGCAGGTCTTAAGCAGTCAGCTGTCCATGTTATCCAGCATAAGGCCATTAAAGCAAAGCATACATTGGAATGTAGGAACATGAAGAGCGCTTTGTTTCAGTGGTCTCTGAGGTAAAATCACACAAAGAATTTTAATAATTATAAACCAATGGCTTCTGAAAAACACATTTCAAAATAAAGCTGAGTTAACGTCGTCTTAACAGGCATTTTGAATGACTTACAGACGTTGAATGAAGCCAAAAACAGTGACAGCGTTAAACGACCAAATTCATGTAACTTAAAGCTTCACCGTCAGTTTCTTCCTCACGTAGCTTTAACAAAACAGCAGCTAACAACTACTTTCATTGTCAATAAATCTGTTGATCATTTTCTCCATTATTGATTAGTCTATAAAGTGTCAGAAAATGGTGAAAAATGTCGATGAGTGTTTCCCAAACCCAAGATGACGTCCTAATATGTCTTGTGTTGCCTGGAAATATTCCATTTACGGTCATAGAGGAGCAAAAATATCAGAAAATATTCGAAGATGGATGTTGAGAATTTTAAGTGTTTTTAAAAAAAACTCCTTGAATCAATTAATCAACTATCAAAATATGTCTGTGGTCATCCAGATACTGAAGAAGCCTCTTGGATGGAGGTGAAAGATCTTCAAGAACCTACAAGAGAAGCCCAGTTGATTTCTACTGAAGCCCCTACAATTAACTATCAAAATAGTGGATGATTATTTTAATATCTGACTTGCTGAATAATGGTTGCAGCTCTAACAACATCAACTGCTTATAAAGTCAGACAATAATTGCAGACGCCCGCTGACATTCACTTATGCCAAACCTGGATTCCCTCGCTTGTCTAAAGTCTAATTAACTCGCCTTCTAATCCATAACCAACACGGAAGCAGACATTTTATCTGGTTACGAGCAATTACTGCTGCTTCCCGAGTTTCTACATCGCAGCCGCGTCCTCTGAGCTTTTATTCAGCTTCTATTTAAAGCCGTCAAATCACTTCAAATTCACAACAGAAAGCAGGAATCTTTTGGTGTGCACCGCTTCACGTGCACCTGTCAGCAATCTGCAATCAAACATGCATTGGGATTTGCACTGGATGCTTTGTTTAAGACGACATAATGAAAATCTAAAGTGTTGTGAATGGGAACTAACAACAGCTAACCGTCTGCGGCGATGTATCCGGGGGTTGTTCGGTCGCTGCTCCGTCCTGTTCGCCATGTGCTGGAGGCAGAGGACCCGAGGAGGGCGTGTTGAATTATTTAGTGCCACTCTACTCTTACAACACACGCGAGCTCACACCGACAACAATGCTAAAATAAGATGAAATAACAGCAATACGGCCTACGTTCACTGCGATGTAAAACTCACGGTCATGCTTCGGTTTTTAGAAAAATGACCAACTGAAAAGCTGTCGTCATGTGCGAGTTTTACCTACATAAAGTGGGATAAATTACAAACTATAGAGTCTCATAGGAAAAAACTAACATTGTGATATTTTGTTTTTCCCCTGTATGTATTAAAATATTTTTAAAAATTCTGAAATTTTTACAAGATGGCTTCAATAACTACATTTCGAGAGAATTACTCATTCCAAAATGATTGGGGATGTTTTGTAAGGGAGTGAATCTGCATAAAAAATTAAAAAATATATTTTTAAAAATCCAACAAAAGCTTGTGTTTCCTGAAAATATTCAATTTACTGTCATAGAGGAGCAAAAATATCAAAAAATATTCACATTTCTGAAGATGGAGGTAGAGAATTTTACGTGCTTTTCTTTAAAAATTTGCGTGAATCAGTGAATCGACTGTCAAAATATGTCTGCGCAGATTCCCATACGATGGCAAAGGTATTCAAAACATATATTTTTTTGCTTTAGATGTCATTCACGTCTGCTTTCGCCCTCGTCATACAGAGCTTTGTGGTGCTGATTGCAAACAATTGCAAAACGCTGTCAGCAGAGAACCTGTTTTTGGGCAACAGCATCCTTTCTGTCGCTGAAATGTTTCCACACAACTGATTTCTTTCTGCAAA